ACCGGATTTCAACCGGGAATCCACAACAGTTTATAAGTTATTTTATAGATACAAATATTTAAGTAAATGCTCTGTTTATAATAAACAGTATTAAGAACACTTACCAGCCTGAATGTCTGAGCAATTTTCATAGAAAATATGCATCTTCATGGAGAATTGTGTTTAAATACAGTAAAATTGACCTTGCTAACCAAATGCTCCACTGTGGCCCAATTGATAAGGGCACGTCAGGCTATATGACAGTTCCATATAGGATTCAGGTTCGATTCTTGTTGGAGGACGCATATTTTCTATGAAAATTTCTCAGACATTCAGGCCGGTAAATGTGGTTAATACTGTTTATTATAAACAGAGCATTTACTTAAATATTTGTATCTATAAAAAGAACTTATAAACATAAAAAAATGTCTTAAAAAATAACCTTTACATCAACCAAGATGAGAACAATAGCTCAAAATGATACAAGTATATTTACAATTACTCATTTCTGAAATGAAATACTAAAAGACACATACATATTCATATGTGCACAGATATATATCAATATACAGAAAAAGCACATTTATCATATAAGTGGTATATAACAGAGTATGTATATATGCTTTTATTTCCCATTAATGTATTTGTATAATGAAGTTTTATTATCTTTGCTATTAAATACATAATAGATTCAAGTCAAAACACCAAAATTGCCATTTTCCACATTTTGAATAAACAATCATTGCTTAAAGAACACACTTATATGATAAGCTAACAATAGCTATTTCCAGAAATATATGGCTATGCCTTTTAATCATGTCTCTCTACTGGCTTTCAAATAACTTTCAATTAGCTGCTGCTTCTTCTATGTGCCGTCTCCCTTCTGGATGTGGGTGATCATGGTTCTCCACAACTTCCTGTCCTTTGTAGCTCTTAGCAATATTTATCTTTTTGCTCTCACTCCTAATACCTGTTCTGCCACCCATTTACACAAGTTTGTTTTCTTTGTACCAGTTGCCTTCAAAATGTTTTCTCTGTAACACTTGCCTTCAAAATGTCCTTTGAGTATCAAATTTTCCAAACCTTTTTTCCTCATTATGTGGCTTAGAACTTTCAACATTTTCTTTCTGATTTTAAGTATAAATGTCCTATTTTTTCATTTTCTTTAAAACTTTGTAATTGCTCACATGTTCGATCTATTCTCAGCATCCTTCTGTAGAACCACATTTCAAGTTTTTTCTTCATCTGTGAGGAGACTGTCCAGCACTTACTGCCATATACAAGGACTAATACTGCATAACAGTTCAGTACTTTTTCTGTTTCTAAAAAATTTCCCCGTTTCTTAATACTTTGCTTAGCTTTTGGAAGGCCTCTTTCTCTATCACAATATGCCTTCAGATTTCAATGTTGCACATTCACATCCAGTTCTCTGTTAAAACAATTCTCAAATATTTAAATTGTTGTACTGGCTTGATTTTGGTATATATAACAGATAAATTGTCTTTTGTAATAAATAACTTCTTATTTTTACATTTATTTTTCAATATAATCAATTTACATCAAAGAGCAGATATTAAGCAAACATTTAACAACTATTATATGGTGATTATGAGACAAATCTCTCATTGTTCATCTGACAAAATATGATCAAATAATCTTCAAATTCTATGTATTTAAAATATTTGTTTGGCAAAGTTGGACCATCGAAAAAAAAATAGAATCAAAAGGACATTTTTCCCCTTCACACCTCTATTATTTTAACTACCTTCACTCTTTAGCAATATTAATTGCTCTAAAAAGTGATGATCAGAATTATAATAAAACCTAAACATATAATAAAAGTGAATTTATACATTTTTTTTGTTCATGAGAATTTACAACATTACTATTTAGCACTATTTATTAGATTATTCATAGAAATAAACAATTTTATATTTACATTTTAAAACTTAAAACAATGCAATATTTATCATTTACCAGTTTAATAAAGAAATAAAAATGAAAAAAATAATTATTCTTTAATTTGTAAATATTTACTAAATTTTTTAAATATATGGACCCACTATAAGGAAATCCTTATTATTTACCATTTTATAAAGTTTGAATCAATTGGTAAATAGACGATCTTTTGCCAACCATTCCAATAAACAATATAATAAATAAATAGTTTTTATTATTTTTATTGTCAATTCTCAAGAAAAAAGCAAATGTATATATTCGCCATCATATTTTTAGTTTTTTTTATACAATTCTGATCATTGCTTTTTAAAACAATAAACATTGCTGAAGAGTGAAGATAGTTAAAATGATAGCAGTGTCAAGGGAAAAACTGTCCTTTTGAGACTTCATTTTTTGCAGGCATGAAAGTCCAAGTTTGTCATTTGTTTATTCAAATTTATTATTTATGAGGCAGAGTATTTGAAATCTATCCTTCTTTATAAAAATATTTATATTAGTGGAATCCTCACATATATAAGAAATGTGGACTGTGCTCTTAAGATTGCCATGTGACTATAATTATATGTGGTGACTATAATTATCTGTGGTCAACTGTTAACACCATAAAATACCAATAAAATAGTATATTGAAACTTATTTAACCTGATAAGCCTTTCTTAATTTCATTACAGTGCATATGCATTAATTAACTAGTATCAAACTGATGATATAAATTTGTTGTTGAATAAAGCATTTTTTAATAGAAGTTACAAAAAAAGATACAAAACTTGATTTTCGAACTGATTATCAAATAAATAGCAACTAAAAATCGAAAATGTTGATTATTTTCTGCTAAATATAAAATACGTATCTAGTTTGATGTAGTGGATGAAAAGGCAAAAAGTACTGAAAGCATTAAAAAGGAAATATTAATTATAAACTTCTTAAATACTTTCCTCAGGGTCTGCAAGTACAATTCAAACTTGTTACAGGTTTTGTTGAAATTAATAAGCTCAAATTATATTCATCATGCCAATTACACATCTTGATGCTCTAAAGTATTGTGAGAAAGACAAACATTTTTCTGTAAAATTTTAAGATTCCTAATTTAAATTTCAATCAAGCAAATAATTTTTTCCCCAGTTCACTCTACTGTAAATTCAATGAGCTCTGAAAAAGTATGAGAAGTCAAAATAGAAAATCTTTTTAAGAAAATTTCTTTGTTGTTGCTGTTGCTGTTTTTAAACTTACAGATTTTATATGGCCAGCTACACTGTAAGTATTTAAGAGTTACATTCATAAAACAAAAATAAAACACACGTTAGAAAAAAGAAAGTAAAACCAATATTTTTCATCGAAAAAATAAATCATACGGTGTGAGATTAAGAAATTGGTTAGCTTACTTTTGTTGATACAACTCATTCCACAATCCCCATCACATAAGCACCGCTTCTTTTTACTAACGCAGTCAGAATCTTTTGTGCATCTCTTAAGGCAAGTACGATGGAGATTTGTTGTTTTTCTTGGACAAGTCTTTTCATTGCCTGAAAAGTAAAAAAAAAGAACACATTAAAATCTCAGAAACTCTTGTCAGATCATTCAAATAATTGTATGGTAGTAAGCTAACTCATTATTTCTAAACTGTTTTAATTCAAGTTGCTCTTGTAGAATATCTAAAACTAGGATGCACCTTTAATTTTAATATAAGATTGTACTTCATATGTCAGTTAGTTATGTGCCATGCATGATGCATGCTTAGGCAATCATGTATCTTTTGATACATGGCTGGTGAGGCAGATTTTTTTTTCCCGCAGTATGTTGCCATTTCTTTCTGTGGTAGACCAGTTACCATCCAAGGATATAGAATCCGGTCTGTTCTGCTATTCACCCATAGCTAGGGGGAGAAGAGAAGGATTCATACCTTTTCCAAATGTATTAGCACGTAAGTGAATGTAAGGGATTTGACTGGGATTCAAATTTGTCTCTCCGATTCCTCAATCCGAGCCGCTAACTATTACTCCACTGTCTCTCCTTTCTCTGGAATATGCTTAATATAAGATTGTATTTCATATGGAATAAATAATTCATTCTTTGTATGTGCAAATGTGTACCCTTCTCTATGTTCTCAAAATTGCATTTTCCTGTATTATAGAATACTGAATTTGTGATTTTGCAAATTTGTAACAAAACTAGGGAATAGTTAAGTGACTATTTACTTAAAAAACATTAGAAATTTCAGTTGCTGAAGGATTTTTATATTTTTATTACTTATAATATTAGAATATTGTTATGGGACCTTACCCATAATAACATAATGGACTAGCCCATACGTAATAAATACTGTGCCTCAAGAGGAAGCAGGGAGTTCCATCTGAAGTCTAGAGTTCAGTCTGAAGTCTGGAGTGAGGTCCGTCAGAAGTCTGTCAGGAGTTTGTCAGTCATTCAGAGCGAGCGAGTCAGCCAGTCGAGTCAGAGGCAGTCCGAAACAGAGTCATGTTCAGACAATTACTACTAAACCTGATTGTTCGTACTAACACTTTCTACCTCTCTGTATATATTCCTGTTTGTAATATATCTGTGTTATACCATATACATGTTCGAGTTCTTATTTATTGGTTCTACCTTGGACTATCACTGTGGTACAAGGAACTGGACCATAACAAATATGTTCCTCCCAAGTTTCAAAGTTCAGATCTTTTAAATAAGATTTAGTCTCTGACTTTACTAGATCATGAGTTTTTATCAGCTTATAATTGTTAAAAGAATAAAAAAAAAATTAATAAATTATTCTTCTGTTAACTTAGGATACACCTGGCTACCTTTCAGGGCTCACCGGTTCAGAAATGCCAAGCTAAATCAATTGGCAGTAAAAGATTTCTAAAGATAAATATTCAGATAGAGTTTATATATGATTATATTTCCAAATGTGAGGCTGTTGATTCTGTACTGCAAAAAATTGGTGGTGGTCTCAAAATAAAAACAGAAAAAATATAACAAAATCATAATCAAGTTGAATTGGTTAGAAAATAGCATCAGTAGTTGCAAGCAGAATTTAACTTTCATTGAGTTTTATTTTCTACATCATGAGTGATCATGCATATTTTCTCAGCTCTTCACAACTTCCTATCCTTCATAGTTCTAAGCAATATTTGTCTTCTTACTCTCCTTCCCATATTTGTTCCCTTACTCCCCCTCCTGTATTTTCCCCCTTACTCTCCCTCCCATATTTGTCCTCCTTACTCTCCCTCCTGTATTTTTCTTTTTACTCTCCTTCCATTATTTGTCCCCCTTACTCTCCCTCCCGTATTTGTCCTCCTTACTCTCCCTCCCATATTTTTCATTTGTCCCCCTTACTCTCCCTCCCATATTTGTCCCCTTTACTCTCCCTCCCGTATTTGTCCCCCTTACTCTCCCTCCTGTATTTGTCCCCCTTACTCTCCCTCCTGTATTTGTCCTCCTTACTCTCCCTCCTGTATTTTTCTCTTTACTCTCCTTCCCATATTTGTCCCCCTTACTCTCCCTCCCATCCATGTCATCCATTCATACAAGCTCATTAGAAAGTTTCTATCTGCTCTTGACTTCAACTAGCCTTCAGTATGTCCTATGAGTGTCAAATTCTCCAAGACCTCTTTCCTTATGTGTCCCTGAAATTTCAACTGACTCTTTTTAAGTACAAGTAAACTTCTTATTTCTATTTACTTTTTATTGTTCACATAATCTGCCCTTGTTATTCACAGCATCCATTTAACTTTCATTTCTAATGAAATTTTTTGTTTCTTAATATTTTTAGTTTTTGAAAGGCATCTTCTGTTATTTCCATGCATCTGAACATAATAAAAATGATATCAATTTATTTAAAAATATTTAGAATTTCTCATACTGATTGACATTTTCAATAGATTTCTGATGATTTTTAAATCTTTGAAGGTATTTTTTTCATTTTAATTAATGAAAGATCTATTTTTAAAAAAATGACATTTTTTGAATAGCCTTATTAATATCTATCATTGCTTTGTAACCTCATGACATATTAACATTGTTTTTTTTCATTTTTGTTTCAGAAAACACTTTACTACATCAACCACTAGAGCCAGTGTCCACAACAAAGCATTTTTTTAGAATTTTCTATCACAAATATTTATGTCATGATATACATATTTAAAGGTCACATTTGCATGTTTGAAAGTGATTAAAGTAGGCTTACCAGCTTGGCTGGAACTATCTTGGCTTAGGAGTCTGGCCTTTTTTTATAATCATTTCACCACAAGCAAGGCAATAAAAGCAACTAAGACACAAGGATTTAGTGAGAGTGAAAGCAACAGAGAGGACAATAAAAGAACAAGATTCAAGGAGATAGAAGGTGATTAGTAAGGTTGCATTTAAATTTTTGAACATTGTAGTTGAGAGGAAAGTAAAAGGCTACAAGAGACTTTCAGAAGCAAGAAGTGCAGAAAAAGAAACAATTAAGATTTAACGTGGTTGCAACTAGCAATTCCAGTAGTAAAATTATGAGACCGAGCTGCAAATCTAGTACTACACTAAAATTTATGAAGTTGAGGTATCAAAGATGAAAGCTCATCAGAACAATCGCCAAGAAAATATTTATAGAAAAGGTATAGGGCAATTGTCTTACAGTGGTGGGAAAGTGACTGAAGCCAAGATTTCAGGTCAGCACCAATAACATTGTAGATTCTTCTCTGTATTTCATCTAGAAACTTTAGATATATAGCAGAAGCACCAGATCAGAAGTGGGAGCAATATTTGATACATGGACAAATGATAGGCATAAATGTTCAAGATACATGTAGCCAAGAAAAATGTTCTCACATGACATAATGAAACTACATTCCTAGCTGTAGACCTGGCAATTGATTCAATATAATTGCTTCACTTTATGTCAGTGGAAAACATGAGGCTGAGAAAGGACAAATAGCTCTCTCTCTCTCTCTATATATATATATATATATATATATGATTTTCCAAGCATAGCTTAGATGTGGCACAAGGCCAAAATTAGGGGGCACCCAGTGAGGATTAAACTCACTACTCAGTCGTAATTGTTCTAGCAAGACAAGCTTGCAAACCATTACACTGCCTCGAGGTGCCCTATGTGTGTGGGTATATATATATATATATATATATATATATATGTGTGCATGTGTATGTATATATATATATATATTTGTGTGTGCGCATGTGTGTGTGTGTGTGTATATATGCATATATATATATATATATATATATATATAAATGTGTGTGTATATATATATATATATATATATATATATATATATATATATATATATATATATATACACATCAGATTAAATAAGGAAAAATGTTTATAAATTTAACATCTTTTGCTTTTTATTTTAACTTCAATGATGCTTTTGAAAAATTTTTTAAAGAGAATGTTTTACTATTCCAAATTCTATTTGTCTTCATTGGTCAGGTAGATTTTATATGCTTATGTCGTGTGGCATTAGTGTGTGTGTGTGTGTGTATGTGAAGTAGGAAAGTATACTTATGTGTATCAAATTTCAAGTTAGGTATATAGTTGCTAATAGTAATTTATATATATATAAATATATATATATATATATATATATATATATAATTACTTTCCTATTTTTTCCTACTACCATCTTTTAGGATTTAAACACACAGAGAAACTACCAGAGACACAAAAAATGCCCACTAGAATTTGGATACACGCACTCACTCACCCACCCACACATACACACACATAGACACACACTAATGCTAAAGGCATAACAACAAGCCTACCTATGCAATTAGAATACATTAGTCAGTTTTTCATTCATCAGTCTAATGATCTCTCCAATGTAACAAATCTGCTGAAGCAAGAAAATTATACTGTAAAAGTGTTTCTTCAACTTTTAAAGAACTTGGTTGTAAATACATTTTTGTAGACTAATTATTTCCTTTCATTAGGTTATATTTAATGTGATTTGCTAATAGCTTCCAACTCAGGAAGTGAACCACGGACCATATGATTTATCCTTACAGCTTATAACTCAGAGTTAATCAAAAATATTTTTATAACTGGAAAAATTTGAAATGACATATCTAGAAAAATGCTCAAAGATTTTGCATAAAATTGTTATAATTAATCACTAACCAGGAATAATCATTAATTCATGCATAGTAGACATTAAACCCCTTTTGCCAGACATGGAAAACTATCAGCAAAAGTAACCCCTTTTCAGCTTAGAGCAATGCATGCAGTAGATCAGAAGAGACTTTATTCTCTTTCATAGAAATCTGATACCAAGAAGGGATGCTAAAGTTAGCGCACCATGCAATAGACACATATGCCAGAGACAGTACATCTCACTCGCTGATTCATGGGCAGAAGAAATTCACATATTTTCTTTTTTTAAGCGTTTCACTCCAAACAAGGCTGGAAGCCACTAGTATGCAAAGCGTTACAGAGGATTTGGAGTGAGAGCAGATAGGAGTGATAGAGGAAAGGATGAGGAGAAGGATAGTGGATAGATCAAGGCAACTGGAGATGTTGATTGACATTACATTTGAATAGTTGGGGATTATAGCTATCAGGGACAAAGGAAAAGGGAAGGGAGTTCCACAGGCGAGAGATGTGAGATATGAAGCTATTGGAGTAGAAGAGATGGCTACATTTAACAGTTTCAACAGTGAAAGGGTGAGAGCAGGATGCCAGCCTCATAGGACGCTTGAATTCATGCAGTCTGGGAACCAGAGAAAGCAGTTCATCAGAGCAATTGCCATGAAAGTATTTGTAAAAATGACAATGATAGGTGCCGGCATGTGACTGCAGACGAGATGCCAGATCAGGGTCAATTATATTGCATATCCATCTCTGGATCTTATCAAGAACCCCAAGGCAAAGAGAAGGGGCTCCAGACCATATATGGCAGCAATAATCCTTCAATCTTTACATACACTCTTAAGAGCATTCTTTTTAAATTTTCTTTGCAAAAAATGTTCCAACAGGATAAATATTTCTATCTTGTTTTGTTTCACTCTTTTGTTCGTCTATTTTGTTTCTTAACACACTTAGTTTTTTGTTCAACCCACAACCACTGACTGAGAAACAACAGTTTGGTGACCACAAGGTTAGTTGTGGATTTCTTTACTTTGTGTTAACTTTGTACATAGTAGCAATTTGGTAGAGTGAGTTAAATTTTTTGTTTCATGGTAATATTCTTTACATGAAACACATGAGAGTCATTATGATTTTATACTGTTCCTGGAAAGCCTGTCTTTTATAAGTATATTTTTTGCACTGCAGACATAAACTGTTACTAATAGCAAGGATTTCATTTTGAGTAAATATAACTATGTCTGGAGCCAATAGAATTTAAAGGTTGCATGTTGGTGTATGATGGTGTGTGTGTGTGTGTGTGTGTGTGTGTGTGTGCATGTGCGTATGCATGTATGTGTGTGTTCATATGTAAGCAATTAAGAACAAACATCCAAAACTTGGGTTCTACTATTGACCATTTATTCTAATTTTTCATATAAACTGTAGTGAAACAAAGTTCTTAATGTCTCTTGGGTATGTACGTTTTCTTTTTGGTCCAGAACTTAGAATATGTAAGGATAAGTATTGTTATATTGGTGGAACTCAAGTCGGCCTTGGGCTGAGTTGGAATGACAAAAGAAAAAGTTGATTAACTTCATAGGTGGAAGTTTTGGAGGAAACATGCGAACGCTATATGTTGAAAAGTGGAAAGAGAGGTCCATCATTAGTGAACTGGGAAAATGACATTCTTTTTTTTCCCCACATACTGCTGCATCTTTGAGCAAGAGTGGGAAAGAGTCAGGAAATGTTTGTCTTTTTATAGACTTAAACAGCGTCACCTAATGGGCATTTGGTGAAGCCAAGTAGAGTAAACCAGTTCCTTCATTATGAGCATCATTTTTTTTTATTACTATTCAATTGTTTTATTTCATTTAACCACATCAGAAAAGATTAGTAAGAGATTAAGTACAATTTGTTTTTCATAACAAGTCTAATGAAGAAATAGGCTTAGATTTAATTTAAAATATTAGCCACTCTTCTTTTTTTTTTAACTGTTTTATACCAAAGAAAATAAATCAAGACTGACAAAATGATGTCTATATCAGAGACGTTCAAACTTGCTTCATGTGAGAGCCACATATGATAAATTTCAGATGTTTGAGAGCTGCAAAACAAACAAAATTTACACATCCACATTAACATTAAACTTACATTGGAATCCAACAGGCTCTCAATCCTAAAGCTTGAAATTTTTCTTATTTACCTTTTATATTAACCATGATAAAAAAGCAGCTCAGTCAACATATTAAAGGTCAAAAAACTCTGTATGGCTCACAAGCCACAGTTTGGTCACACCTGGTTTATATATTACAGAAAAATTAATTGATTTTGAAATGGATATAAAATATCTCCAACATTTCATGGGTAAAATCTTTCTTTGTCACTAAGAGTAGGTATTATTTTAAAACTTACAACTGTTGTAGACTAATTAATTCTAGGTGTTAAACAATAAAAAAATAAGTCAGGTGA